CGTCTTCTGCCTTGTTGAACGTTGCCAGAGCGTAGAATCTTGCTGCTTTGGGGGCAGTTTTCGTTAAAACGATATAAAATTCATTTGATCTGAAATATAAATATCATTTGATCTGCCTGGATATTTGTACAGAGTTGTGGTAATGCATGTATTCCAAGTATCCTGGTAAAATCAGCAGTGTAAGAGATAAAATCGGCGCTGTAAGAGGTTTTCAAGTAGAGGCTCGATGCTCATTTGACAGCAATGCTGACTCAGTGAACTGAGGCAGATCACGAGAAGGGAGGGCAGGAAGGGTTGCCTCAGGGCCTAGTTCTTGTGACCCTTCCTTACACGAAAATGCTGGTCACGACTTTGGGGGGGGGGTCACAATGTTCCCTCTAATCCGAGTTAGTGTGAGCTAGCTCACAGTTTTTTAGCCTCCGGCTCACACTTTTTTGTCTTAGCTCAGGAAGGATGGCTCCGGAGCAAACTAATTTATACAGTAGCCAGATTGCTCACTCACAACATTAGTGCCAGTAGCTCACAAAGTAGAATTTTTGCTCACAAGACTCCACAGCTTAGAGGGAACATTGGTCAGGCAGCAATTTTTCTCCAGGCCAGTTTGGCTGGAGATCCTGGAGGGTTTTTTTTTTGTCATCTTCTGGGTGTGGAACAAGGGTTGCTGTGTGTGTGTGTGTGTGTGAAGGGGGAGGTATTTGTGAATTCTCTGCATTGTGCAGGGGGTTGGACTAGATGACCCTGGAGGTCCCTTCCCACTCTATGATTCTATGAAGTGTGCATGCACATGGAAGCTTATACCCAGAATTAACCTTTTGTTGGCGTTACAGTTCCACGCCACTGGACTCAAACTTAGTTCTGGATATTAAAAAGTTTACTGATTGCCTTCTGTTGTTCCAGCATGACTCAGGGTGGCCAGCTGAGGGTTGCGAAATACCTGGAGATTTGGGGGGTGGAGCCTGGGGAGGCGCGTGACCTCAGAAGGGTAAAATATAGACTCCACCCTCCAGAGCAGCCATTTTCTCCAGGAGAGCTGATCTCTGTAGTCTGGCAATCCATTGTCACACGTAGAGATCTCCAGGCCCATAAGTGTAGCCCTCTTGCTTCCCGCTCAGGCCTTCAATTGCCGACTTCCGCTAGCTCAGTGCACCGTTCTGTCCTTGGGCACTGTTTCAAACCAACCGTCTCCCCGTCAAACCACCCTACCTCTCATCCTTGGCTGTCAGACTTCTATGACTGACCTTTCTCTTCGCCCCACGGCAGTTAGAATGTTTGTGAATGTTCTCTGGCATCACAGCACCTCAGCGAGTGGGAGAGGCAGGGGTAGCCCAGCTTACAGCGAGTTCTTTTTTTTTTTAGTATTTGAGTGTGTGTGTGTATGTGTGCGCGCGCGCTTGCGTGCCTGGAACTCATGGTGACTTCTGGCGCACCCTCCTGGAGCTGTGCTGGCTCAAGTGGTTAAGACGCTGAACTGCAGGCTGTGGAAGGTCAGTAGTCCAGCAGTTCGAGACCTGAGTGTGCTGCATGACGGAGTGAGCTCCCGTCTCTAGTTCCGGCTCCTGTCAACCTAGCAGTTCGAAAGCAAGAAATTGCAAGGAGATAAATAGGTACCACTTCGGTGGGAAGGGAACAGCGTTCCGTGTGCCTCGGTGTTTAGTCATGCCGGCCACATGACCACGGAAATGTCTTCGGACAGCGCTGGCTCTTCGGCTTGGAAACGGAGATGAGCACCGCAACCCTAGAGTCGGATTCGACTGGCTTTCGAGCAAGGGAGACCGTTACCTTACTGGGGCTTGGACATTTCAGAGAGGTGGCTTGACAATTTGCCTGCCCCTGCGTCCCGCCCCTGGTATTCCTTGGAGGTCACCCTTCCGAGTACTTGCCAGAGTCGGCCCTGCTTAGTTCCTGAGATCTGCTGAGATCGGGCTTGCCTGGGCTATCCAGGTCAGGGCGAACGAGTTCTTAGCTTCTTATATACAATAAGGCTGGTATTCATGGAACGTCAACGTTTTCGCTTTGAGGCGAGGGGGGGCGGGTCTTGGAACAGAGTTCCTGATCGGTGGCGATGTCTCGCTTCCTCTGCAGAGATGCTGTTGAAGAATAAAGAACTGAGGCCCCTGAGAGTGTACGCCGAGAGTGTCGAGACAATGGAGTTTCCCTACCCCGGGAGTAGCTTACACATCTCTCGGAAAGCAATGCGCGACACAAAATCCAAGCCGGAGATCAGGTATGAAGCTAGCCGTTCCCTTGCTCGGTCAGGCTACGGCCAGGGCATCAAGGCGATATGGAAGCCATCTTCAAGTATCTGAGGGGATTTCGTGTAGAGGATGGAGCAGGTTTGTTTTCTGTTGCCCTTGACGGTTCGGCCAGAACCAGCGGGTTGGAATTGCATCAGAAGAGTTTTCGGCTAAGCATTAGGAAGAACTTTCTGACAGTTAGGACGGCTCCAGTGAGCCAGTTTGGTGTAGTGGTTAGGAGTGGCAGACTCTAATCTGGGAGAAGCGGGTTTGATTCCCCACTCCTCCACATGCAGCCGCTGGTGTGACCTTGGGTCAGTCATACGTTCTTTCAGAGCTGTTAACATAAGAACATAAGAGATGCCAATGTTGGCCAGAAGTGGCCAGAAATACCAGTGCCATCAGGAGGTCCACCAGTGGGGCCAGGACATTAGAAGCCCTCCCACTGTTGACCCCCCCCCCCAAGCATCAAGATGACAGAGCATCCCTTGCCCCAGAGACCCTATCTATACCTTGTGGATAATAGCCACTGATGGACCTCTAATTCCCTTTTGACCTTTTCAAGCCCTCCATGCGTGTACCCGCCACCACTTCCTGTGGCAGTGAATTCCAAGTGTTAATCACTCTTTGGGTGAAGAAGTGTTCTCTCAAGGGCAGTTCTCGAGAGAGCTCTCTCAGCCCCACCTGCCTCACAGGGTGTCTGTTGTGGGGAGGGGCAGGGAAAGCAGATGGTAAGCCGCTCTGAGACTCCTTCAGGTAGTGAAGGGCAGGGTATAAATCCAATCTCCTCCTCCTCCTCCTCTGTGGAACGGGCTTCCTTGGGAGGTGATGGGCTCTCCTTCTGTGGCGTCTTTAAACACAGGCTAGATAGCCATTGGACAGCAATGGAGATTCTGTGGATTTAGGCAGATGGTGAGAGGGAGGACGGGAAGGGATGCTCCGCTCTTGTGGCCCTTTCTCATGTGCCCAGGGTGATGTTGATCACCACTTTGGGGTCAGGAAGGAATTTTCCTCCAGGCTCGATCAGCCCAGAGATCCTGGAGGCTTTCCCCCTTCCTCTTGGCATAGAGCAGGGGTCACTGGGGGTGTGGAGGTAGGTAATGATTAATTTCCTGCATTGTGCAAGGGGTTGGACTAGATGACCCCTTGAGATCCCTCAAGCTCTCTGTTTCTACGCCCCCCCCAGACAAACTTTAGAGGAGGAGGAGGAGGAGATTGGATTTATACTCCGCCCTTCACTACCCGAAGGTGTCTCAGAGCGGCTTACAAACTCTTTTCCCTTCCCCTCCCCACAACAGACACCCTGTGAGGTAAAAGAAGAAGGAGAAGAAGAAAGGATTGGATTTATACCCCGCCCTTCACTACCCGAAAGTGTCTCAGAGCGGCTTATAAACTCCTTTCCCTTCCCCTCCCCACAACAGACACCCTGTGAGGTAGGTGGGGCTGAGAGAGCTCTGACAGAAACGGCTCTTTTTCAAGGACAGCTGTGCCAGAACTACGGCTTGCCCAAGGTCATCCACCAGGTGCAAGTGGAGGAGTGGGGAATCAAACCCGGTTCTCCCAGATTAGAGTTTGCGCACTTAACCACGACACCAAACTTTAGAAGGTGGCCTGGTTGCGATCCTAACTATAGCTTCGTAGGAATAAGCTCTACTGCAGAGAGTGAGTAGGTATGCATTTCAACTGCTCTAATAGGGCATCTTGTGATCACAGCGAGCTACCCTGCTGTTCTGCATTTGGAGACACAAGAGATCTTTTCAGGGTTTCTAGTCCTCATGGCTACAGTTATAATCCGGAGAGTTTGTAGGCAGAGCCTTCCAGAATCACAAAAATCAGGAGTATACGTGTGTATGTACGTATAGGTAAATCAGATCTGCTTATATCAGGGGAGGGGATTCAAAGTTCTTCCTTCCCCCCGACGAGCGGAAACAGAACGTGCGTGCACAGCAGTTTAAAGAAATCGCAGAACGAAATTATGCAGATTAAATGAAATTATACAGAACTGATGCAGGATGCTTTGCCTGGTTACTCGTAGAAATAAAAGCAAGGAGGATTTGCGGCCCTACTAATTGGTGCCTGCAGGTGTGACGGACGACAGAACTTGTCAAGCACGTCATGCGCATGTCAGCATTCAGTCTTTTCCTTGAAAAAAAATATTCCTTTTTTGCACAGGGATATCACTCTACACTACCGTATCCGGCGTCCCCCAAATCCTTATGCGGGAGACATCTGTGCGTTTGACGCCCGCGTGAGAAGAGGAGATGTGATCACAGAGGACGAAGTTGAGAGGTGAGTACAGGATGGGCACATGTTGTCTGACATGAAGAGCAGTAATTCTAAGATGCTCAGATAATGGTCTGACTCCTCTTTCCCAGGGAGGGTGGTAAGCAGTGGGGTACGGCAGGGATCAGTACTTGGTCCACTGCTTTTTAACTTGTTCATTAATGATTTGGAGTTGGGAGTAAGCAGTGAAGTGGCTAAATTTGCGGATGATACGAAGTTGTTCAGGGTGGTGAAAACCAGGGAGGATTGTGAGGCACTCCAAAGGGATCTGTCAAAGATGGGCGAGTGGGCGTCAACATGACAAATGGGGTTCAATGTGGCCAAGTGCAAGGTGATGCACATTGGAGCCAAAAATCCTAACTATAAATACACGTTGATGGGGTCTGAACTGGCAGAGACTGATCAAGAGAGAGATCTTGGAGTTGTAGTAGATAACTCACTGAAAATGTCGAGATAGTGTGTGACTGCAATAAAGAAGGTAGTGTGTGACTGCAATAAAGAAGGCCAATGCTATGCTGGGGATTATTAGGAAGGGTATTGAAAACAGATCAGCCAATATCATCATGCCCCTATATAAATCAATGGTGCAACCTCATTTGGAATACTGTGTGTGCAATTCTGGTCACCACACCTTAAAAAGGATACTATAGCTTTGGAAAAAAGTGCAAAAAAGGGCAACTCGAATGATAAAAGGGTTGGAACACTTTCCCTATGAGGAAAGGTTAAATTGCTTAGGGCTCTTTAGCTTGGAGAAACGACGACTGAGGGGTGACATGATTGAGGTTTACAAGATTATGCATGGGAAAGAACAGGTAGAGAAAGAGGTCCTTTTCTCCCTTTCTCACAATACAAGAACTCCTTGTGGGCACTCCATGAAATTGCTGAGCGATCGGGTTAGAACGGATAAAAGGAAGTACTTCTTCACCTAAAGAGTGATTAACACATGGAATTCACTGCCACAGGAAGTGGTGGCGGCTACAAGCATGGACAGCTTCAAAAGGGAATTAGATAAGAATATGGAGCAGAGGTCCATCAGTGGATATTAGCCACAAGGTATAGCTAGGGGCTCTGGGGCAAGTGATGCTCTGTCTTCTTGGCGCTTGGGGGGGGGGTCAACAGTGGGAGGGCTTCTAATGTCCTGGCCCCACTGGTGGACCTCCTGATGGCACCTGGTATTTCTGGCGTCTCTTACATTGGCGTCTCTTATGTTCTTATGGATCAGACCAGTGGTCCATCCACTCCACCGTCCTGTCTCACACAGTGGCCAACCAGTTCTTCTGGAGGGCCAACAACAGGGCACAGAGGCTGAGGCCTGATGTTGCAGTTCATTCATTCCAAAAGGGAAAAATATTTTGTAGGAGGCTTCCCCTCCCCAGTAGTCCACAAATTTTCCAGTTTTTTATGAGAAAAATGAAAAAATAGTCATGGGGGAGGGGGGAAGTGTTTCTTTTAATTTTTTCCAGGCCTTCACATGTCTACACCATGCTCACACTAGTACGTTTCCTGAGAATCACAGTCTCGTTTTTTCCCCAAATTAAAAAAAGCAAGCACTAGGCCTTATGCCTGAAAGTGTCTTTATTTACTTTATTGATATCCGGTCTTTCACCCCAATGCGCGGGGCGTACGTCATTCTCATCTCCTCCATTCTGTCTTCACAACAACCCTGTGAGGTAGATAAGGCAGAGAGGGTGTGACTGGCCCACGATCACCCAGCAAGCTTCCGTGGCACAAGCAGAGATTCATACCTGGATTTACTGTCTACACTACAGAGTTGGCTAAATACACTTCCCGGTGCTGAAGATGAGACTTCAGTGCCCTGTATAACTTCTTGCATTTTCTCATGAGTCAGAGGCAGGAACAGAGATGTGAAGGCCCAGAAAAAAACTGGAAACATTTTTTGGGGGGGAAACAGTTTTCCCCCCATTTTTTTCCTGAAGCCTTTTTTGTTTTTTTTCGAAAAATTGAAAAAAGAAAAGGAAAAAAAATGATTATGGAACATTTTATTTTAACATCATGAATAAAATATTTTAAGACAAGGTGTTACCATATTTTTTAGAAATGATTTGGAAAATATTTTATCAGATTGATCTAATTTCTGTGCACTGAGGACAAGCAAGGTTACAAACTGAACTCTCCATTGTAAGAACAAGATGCATTTCTTCCTTTAGGAGGTGCTATTGTCACAAGAAAATAAAAAGGTTTCAGTTTTGGTTTTGCGTGTGGGTGGGTATTCTGTTTGTAATAATTGTTTGGATACGCTATATTTTTAATATGCTAGTTGTGATCATTTCATGCCAAGTAAAAATGTCCATAGTCATATTTGATGTTCCTAAAGTAACAGAATGACTTTCAATCTGGAAAAGAAAAAAGAAGTGCTAATGTAGCATTTTTTTCAATTTTTCCAAAAATTTTCGTTTCCCCCCGCAAAAGGGTTTTTCCCCGAGCGTTATAATTTCCGGAAATTTTACATCTTTAGTCGCAGAACCTGAATAATGGAATAAACCATACTTAGCAGTGGGGGGGGGGGATTGGGAAAATAGACCCAGTGCTTGTAATTTATATAGCTTGGGAATGGATGTCTTTGAGCTGCAGAATTTTAAAATGCCCGGGCTATAGTTTTCCTGGCTCTGATGTAGAACTTAACGACTCCCATTGTGGCCTTCCAGCTACAAGCGTCTTCTCCAGAAAGCCAGTAAACATGAGCTGCAGGTCCATGATGTTATCCTGTGCACATGCTCGGCCTCCTGCGCCAAAACTTTGACCAACGCCCTGAATGTCAAGCAGGTGCTCGTTGACGAGTGCGCCATGTCCACCGAGCCAGAGACCCTCATCCCGCTGGTGAGCCACGAGAAAGTGGAGAAGGTAAGTGAGCCAACCTAGAATTGCTTTCTGAAACAAGTTCTTGGGACTGCAGCGTAACTTTTTGTGGGCTAGGCCCTGCCTCATCAGACAGTAATTCTCAGATAATAGACATTAAATCATTACTAGCGGAATTGCCTGTCGAATGGTGTGAGTTTTCTGTATGCCTGCATTCCTTCTTGAAGTTCTGTGCCTAGGCCTGGTCAACACGGCCACCGCTGTCCCATTAGTTTGGCGTAGGAGTGGATTGCTAGCCATGCAAATAGGTCTGAGGTGAGAGATGGGATTGGTGTCATGGCTGGTAGCTCCCAAAAGCATGGGAAAAGCAGTGACATTCCTCTATACAGTTGGTGGAGCTGAGTGGAGTGGCTGAGGCTCAGTGGCAGGACACCTGCTTGGCATGCAGAAGGTCCCCGATTCAATCCCCGGCATCTCCAGTTAGAAGGGGCTTGGCAGGAGGTGATGTGAAAAAGTACTGCCTGATTCCCTGGAGGGCAGCCGCCAGTCAGAGAAGACGATACCATTATGGACCAATGGTCGGATGCCACATAAGGCAGCTTCATGTGTCCGTGAGCTCTCCCCCAGTAGACAAGTTGCCTCAGACTTCGGCGACTACCTGCCCTTCCCGCTCAGCTTCCCAGCTGTATTATTCTGGACGAGCCCTGGCAAAATTATTCAGGAGAGGGAGGAGGCCACAGACGAACATACTCACAGAGTCATGAGACCCGACCAACAGAGAAAAGTGGGCTTCTATGACATCATTAGGAGCTGCGGTGGCTCAAGTGGTTAAGACGCTGAACTGCAGGCTGTGGAAGGTCAGTAGTTCAGCAGTTCGAGACCCGGATGCCACATGATGGGGTGAGCTCCCGTCTCTAGTTCCAGCTCCTGCCAACCTAGCAGTTCGAAAGCAAGAAATTGCAAGGAGATAAATAGGTGGCTCAAGTGGTTAAGACGCTGAACTGCAGGCTGTGGAAGGTCAGTAGTTCAGCAGTTCGAGACCCAGGGTGCCGCATGATGGAGTGAGCTCCCGTCTCTAGTTCCAGCTCCTGCCAACCTAGCAGTTCGAAAGGAAGAAATTGCAAGTAGATAAATAGGTACCACTTCGGTGGGAATGTAACAGCGTTCCGTGAGCCTTGGCGTTTAGTCATGCCGGCCACATGACCACGGAAACGTCTTCGGACAGCGCTGGCTCTTCAGCTTGGAAATGGAGATGAGCACCGCAACCCTAGAGTCGGACTCGCCTGGCTTTTGAGCAAGGGGAACCTTTACCTTTACTTTATGACATCATTGGGGATGTGGAATGGTATCGCGTAGCCCGATCTCGTCATATCATGGAAGCTAAGCAGGGCTTCGCTGGACGACCATCTTTCGGATAGGTTGTAGATATGTAGGGCTATCTTTCGGCTTTGCTCCTGCAAGGTCCCTTCCAACTCGTAACATTCTATGACTCTATGATTCAGGGTCGGTGCTTGGATGAGAGACCCACCAAGGAAGACTTTGCAGAGGAAGGTGGTAAAAACCACCTCTTTGCAATCAGTTGCTTTGTAAACCCTTTGGGGGTCACCACAAGTCGGCCACAACCTGACAGCACTTTGTCTCCACCCGTGATGTTTTTGTCCTGACCAGGGGTCGTTTCGTAGAAAAAGAGCTAGGGGAACTCATTAGCATAACTCATTAGCATATGCCACACCCCCTGAATCACCGGAAGTGTGTCATAAGGCCACACACCCCACCCCCAATGGTCCCAGCCGCCACCGCTGGCCTTGCAGCTCCACTGCCGAGCCCCATGAGGGGCCCGACGGTGGACCTGCAAGGCCGGTGGGAGTGCAAGGAAGCCCCGCGAAGGCCCTCCCTGGCCCCAGGCAGGCAGGGGTGGGGAGAGGCAGGGAGGAAGCAACTTACCCTCCCTCTTCTCCTGCCTCCTCCTGGCTGAATGAGGGCCGGAAGCAGGGTGGCCGGAAGCAGGGGGCGGGGCTTCATCATGTGCCCCGCCCCCCGTAGCTCACCCGGGGGAACTGCGATCCCCCGCGATCCCCCCCGAAATGACCTCTGGTCCTGACGGGGATAGCCTAGGGGTTAGTCTGGTCTTGGCAGGTCTCGGAAGCTAAGTAGGGTCAGCCCAGGTTAGTAGTTGGACAGAGTGACAGAGTGTTGGACTAGATGGGCCATTCGCCTGATCCAACATTGGCTTCTCTTACGTTCTTAACCAGTTCCTCTGGAGGGTCAACAACAGGGCATAGAGGCCGAGGACTTCCAATGATGTAACCTCCTGGCACTGAGATTCAGAGGTTCCCTGTAGTCACCATGGCTAGTAGCTATTGCTAGACTTCTCCTCCATGAATCTATCTAATCCTCTTCTAAAGCTGTTTATTCCTGTGGCCATCACGACATCCTCTGGCAGCGAATTCCCCATTTTAATCAGTTGGCATGTAAACAAGTATTTCCTTTTGTCTGTCCTGAACCTACTGACCATTAGCTTCCTTAGATGCCCTCGAATTCTAGTATTTTGGGAGAGGAAGAAAACGTTCTGTTTGTCAACTCTCCATATCGCATGTGTAATTTTATAAACCTCTGTTGTGTGTCCCTCATAGTTGTCTCTTTTGTAAACTGAAAAGTCCCCGATTCCTCATCTTTTCCAGCCAGATCCAAAGGGTGCATGTTAGGGGTGGGCACAAACCAGGAAAACTGAAGTTCGTGGTTCAGGGTTTTCCAACGAACTCCTCCATGGCATGAACCAGAGAGTTCGGCCCACCTGGAAGAAGAAAAAGAAGAAGAGATTGGATTTATACCCCCCCCCTGACTACCCAAAGGTGTCTCAGAGCGTCTTACAAACTCCTTTTCCTCCCCCTCCCCACAACAGACACCCTGTGAGGTAGGTGGGGCTGAGAGAGCTCTTGACCGAAACTGCTCTTTTTCTAGGACAGCTCGTATCAGAACTACGGCTTGCCCAAGGTCATCCAGCCAGGTGCAAGTGGAGGAGTGGGGGAATCAAACCCGGTTCTCCCAGATTAGAGTCCGCACACTTAACCACTACACCAAACTGGAAGTGAGCTCCAAAGGCATTTAAAGGGCTTTGGAGCCCAAAAACGTGTCTCCCACGAACCTCACGAACCTCCATGAAAAACATGGCGGTTCGTGGGCAGATCATGGGAGACACGCTCTCCCGAAACCTGATTCGCAAACCACTAACTGGCCTGGTTCGTGCTCGAACTGGGGTCTGTTTGTGGGTTTGTGCCCATCCCTAGTGCACGCTGAACTCCGGTTAGAGTAAGGTTCTGCTCCCAAAAGTTATGACTATGCATTTTGAGCTCATTTCCATTTTTTTTTAATAGCCTGGGTTTAAATTGTTAGTTGCTCTTTGGAGGGCAGAAAGAAACGGGCTTGCATTAAAAGACCGAATAGAAGAAATGGTCCCGCTGGCTAGGAATCTCTGGAAGCTTGGGTAGGTCTGACGCAGAGACTTCAGTGCGGTGCGTCTTGTCTTGCAGGTGGTCTTGCTGGGGGACCATAAGCAGCTGCGGGCCGTCGTCCACAATGATTTCTGCAGGGCCCTGGGCATGGAGACCTCCCTCTTTGAGCGCTACAAAGACCAGGCCTTGATGTTGGACGTCCAGTATCGCATGGTAAGAGCTGGACTCTCTGCCCGGAAGGGAATTCTGACAACTGTTTGAATAGTCCAGGGGTCTCTGTGCTCTTGACGTGGATGGCCTAGGGTTGGGGTTGCCCAGGGCTTTTTTTTTTGTAGAAAAAGCCCAGCAGGAACTCATTAGCATAATAGGCCACACCCCTGACAGCACCGCTCATTAGCATATTAGGCCGCAGCCCCGTGTTGCCAGAAGTGTGCTCATCCAGCCACACCCACCTTTTGCTTCTGATTCTGTTGACCTTGTTTGTTGTCAAAACCCAGGGCCTTTTTTTGTAGCAGGGACTCCTTTGCATGTTAGGCCACACACCCCTAATGTAGCCAATCCTAATGAGTTCCTGCTGGGTGTGGCCAACTCAGGAGCCAGCCGGAACTCCGTTCCAGTGCGTTCCTGCCCAAAAATAGCCCTGGGGTTGCCAATCTCCAGGTTGTGTCTGGAGATCTCCCACTATTACAATTGCTCTCTAGGCAACAGAGATAATTTCACCTGGAGAAAAAGGGGCTGCTTTGGAAGGTGGACTCTATGGCATTATGCCCCACTTACGTCCCTCCCCCAAACTCCGCCCTTCCCGGACTCCACCCCCAGAATCTCCACTTGTTTCCGAACCCTGACCTGGCAACCCTACCCAGAGTAGCCCGATCTCATCAGATCTTGGAAGCTGAGTGGGGTCGGCCCTGGTTAGTATTTGGGCGGGAGACCACCAAGGAAGTCCCAGGGTTTATTTATTTTATTTATTTATTTGTCAAATGCAGGGGTCGTTTCGTAGAAGAAGAGGTGCAGGAGCTCATTAGCATAACTCGTTAGCATAACTTATTTGCATACGCCACACACCCCTGACATCACCGGAAGTGTGTCAGAAGGCAACACCCACCGCTCAGGCTCCACTGGACTGTTTTGGATTGCTAGCTATTGGGGGTGTGTGAAAGTGCAGATCCGTCCTCGCAGAGAAGGGAGAGCTTGTACCTGAATAAAACTTTGTCTTAAAGGTGCCACTAGACTCTTTTAGTTTGCTAGCTATGGGGGGGAACACTCAGATCTGCCCTCACTGAGGAGGGAGAGCTTGTACCTGAAGGGGGGGGGCTCTGCAACTTACCAGGCTGCTTCTTGCTCCTCGTGGCCCGACTGAGGGCTGCTGGGAGCAGAGGGCGGGGCTTGTTGCATGTGCCCGCCCACTGGGCTCCTTACTGCCGGAGCTCCGCTCCTGTGCGCTCCCGCAGGAAATGGCCCCTGGTCAAATGTATACCCCGCCCTCCCAGCCAGAGAGCAGCTTACAACAAAGTAAAACACATAGATAACAGTTATCAACAATCTTAAAACCTTCTAAAAACAGTCCAATATTATAAAGTGTGAGTAGATATAAAATCTGGTCGTCGGCAGGGTGATGTCTCTACTTTTTATTATGCTGTCCAGGAACAACAACAAAAGTAGTGATGTTGTTTAGTGATGGCGGCAACAATTCAATAATCTATCTTAATAGTCGGCTCATAGAGCGCTTCCTTTATGCAGCTGGCACGGGCTCCTGCTGGTAGCTCCAGGGGACAGGGCTCTCTGCCTTTAAACTGTTGGGGGCGGCTCCTTAGTTGAAGGCCTGGTGGAAGAGTTCTGTCTCACAGGCCCTGCGAAGCGGCATAAGGTTGCTGTGCAGAGGCAGGCAACGGAAAACCACCTCTGAATATCTTTCACCTTGAAAACCCTACAGCGTTGCATAAATTGTCTGCAACTTGACAGCTCACCCCCCCCCCAAAAAAAACCCCCACTGGACTCCTTTTTACGACTGGATAAGAAAGAAATGATAAAGATAACGAACTTTTGGATAATAGAATACGAAGAAGCCTTTATGAGCTTTTAAAACGTCACAGTATATCCTTTTTTTTGAAATTATTTTTTTATTTTAATACACAAACACAATACATAAAACATAGAAGTTTGGGGGTTCCGTTTTACATTTGTGTGATAACTGTTATATAATCACCTACAATATCCTTTCGTAATGTGAAATGATAATTGGAGAAGATTAATATGCAGAAGACTTACTACTTTTGTTTCCCTTTCTTCCCCTACCTCCCTGTATACCCCCAAAATTTAATGAAATGTACTATGAAAAATAAAACACTGGCCCAGGGGTAAGGTCTTTCCTCCTCCAAAGCCTTCTCCCTGGTATGCTAATTTTGTGCTTTAACTTCAGTTGAATCCCCCTCCCCGCCCAGAATTCACGGACCAAAGAAATGAATCACACGTATTCCTAAAAGTGCCCTGACCTGAATAGCCCAGGCAACCCCAGTCTTGTCAGATGTTGGAAGCTAAGCAGGGCTGGCCCTGGCTAGTATTTGGAAGGGTGACCTCCAAGGAATACCAGACTCACGACGCAGAGGCAGGCAATGGCAAGCCATCATAAGAACATAAGAGAAGCCAATGTTGGATCAGGCCAGTGGCCCATCCAGTTCAACACTCTGTGTCACACAGTGGCCAAAAAGACCAGGGGCCATCAGGAGGTCCACCAGTGGGGCCAGGACACTGGAAGCCCTCCCAAGCACCAAGAAGACAGAGCATCCCTTGCCCCAGACTGAGAGTTCCTATCTGTACCTTGTGGCTAATAGCCACTGATGGACCTTGGAGGCCGGGCTGGTTATGAAAGCCAGGGCTTGAAGACTGGAACAGGGAAAGAAATGGCAAAGAAGAGAGAGCCTTTGACCGCGTACAGAGTACATTCTGTGGAATTAGTGTGTAACCCCAAGCAGCTCACACACATCTCAGGCCCAGAGAAAGAATATCTAGGGCATCAGTGCGTGGGGCAGTTTCTTTCTAAATGCAGGGCTCATTTGGACAGATCCTTAAGAACATCAGAGAAGCCAGTGTTGGATCAGGCCAATGGCCCATCCAGTCCAACACTCTGTGTCACACAGTGGCCAAAAATACCAGGGACCATCAGGAGGTCCAGCAGTGGGGCCAGGACACTAGAAGCCCCCCCCACTGTTGCCCCCCCTGCCAAGCACCAAGAAGACAGAGCATCACTTGCCCCAGACAGAGAGTTCCTACCTATACCTTGTGGCTAACAGCCACGGATGGACTTTTGCTACGTATAACAAAAGAGAAGCCAATGTTGGATCAGGCCAATGGCCCATCCAGTCCAACACTCTGTGTCACAGAGTGGCCAAAAAGACCAGGTGCCACCAGGAGGTCCACCAGGGGGCCAGGACATTAGAAGCCCTCCCACTGTCCAGGGTTGCTGTGCAGAGGCAGGCAATGTCAAACTACCTCTGAATATCTCATGCCTTTGAAACCCTAGGGGGTCACTTGTGGAATGCACAAGAGCTGGCCCCGAGACAGGGTTTTGTGGCTTGTGGGGCAGTTTTTTTCCTGGTGGGGCTGAAGTTCTCAGAGCAGAAAGAAAAGCCATTTGGCCGATAGAAAGCTGTTTCCAGGATAGATCTCTAAACTGGAAGCTGTCAGCCACTTTAGATGGCAGTTCTCAGCTGCTGCCAGTTAAATCACATCCACCAGCCTAAGCAACAATTCTGATAACAAGCTGGCAGTTGGGGGTGACGACTTCTATAGTCAAGAAGGCGAACAGGCAGAAAGACTCTCTGAAAGGAGACCAGTTTCTTGACACAGAGTTAGACGGGATCCTAGAGGTCACTTACTCCAACCCCCTTGCTTAGTGCGGGAACTAGTCAACTACAGCACCCCAGTCTGCTTAAAGGAGCAAATGCCTTTAAAATAATGCTTTAAAATGACTGGAAAAGCCATTTACGGGATAAAATTCTTGTGGGGCTGTGCCTTTAAGAAAGGGGGCGGAGCCCCCCAAAGCACCACCATAGCTACAGGCCTGCACATGAAGGCACACTGTGCATCTCTGGTAATTTTCAGACACCTTCCTGGTATGCCCTTCTGCAAAAACGCCTCTCTTTCTGTCACCCCAGCACAAAGACATTTGCCGGTTCCCGTCCATCACCTTTTACGACGGCAGATTGAAGACTGCTGTCACCCGGCAGTCCAGCCTCCTCTTCCACAGCGGCAACAACTGCTGCCCCATCATCTTCGGCCACATCGAAGGCAAAGCGAAGAGCCTTATGGTCTCGACAGAGGAGGGGAACGAGAACTCTTGGTCCAACCCCGAAGAAGCAGAGCAGGTGGTGAGTAAACCGGCCAGCAGCCAAGAGGGGCCTGTGCCTCTTTCCACTGGAAAGGAACCTGGCCTCGAGGCAGGGTTGCCAACCCTGGTTTGGGAAATTCCTGGGGATTTGGGGGTGGAGCCTGGGGAGGGGGGGTTGGTGAGGGGAGGGACCTCACCCGGGTCTGTTGCCATAGAGACCACCCTCCAAAGCAGCCTCAACACTGTATGGCTGCATCCAGTGTTTCATTTTATTCTTTAGGGAGCAGTCAATGTAGGGTTGCCAACTCTGGGCTGGGAAATGCCTGGAGATTTTGGGGATGGTGCCTGGGGAGGGCAGAGGTTGGGGAGGGGAGGGGCCTCGGCAGGGCACAATGCCGTGCAGTCCATCTTCCAAAGCATCATTCCAGCCTTGAGAAAGACAGGAGCGTTCCGTCTATGATTGTCAGCTGCTTAATGGGCCTTTTGTAGGACCAGCAACAAACATCCATTTAAACTTCAATGTAACCACAAAAGGAAACTTCCCCCTTTAGAAGACTTTCGAGCAAGGAGAAGCGGATGTACAATTCTAGATACTCCCCTTGGGGTTGATTGTGTAAAAAGGATGTAAATTGACTGGTAGCTATTAGATTGTACAAACTGATTATTATTGTTGGTATTGCATGTAATGAATTGTTTTAGAATATTATGAATAATACACAATGCACTTTATAAGATGGAACATATAGAACACTTTAACTTATAAATAAGGTTTTTGCAGTGTACATATTTGTTGTTTGCATCTTCCAAAGCAGCCGTTTTTCTCAGATGGAACCAGGCTTGTAGCCAGGGTTTTGTGGCTAGTGGGGCAAACATTTTTCTGTTGGGGCTGCCTTTATTTTATATGTCACAATGATGAAAACAACCATGATGTAGTATTATGAAAATATATTTAGTCTACTGTTTTGCAGTGAGTCGTGTTTCTTTCAACAAGTAAAAAAGGTAACAACAACAACAAGTAACAACGGAATTTGCATATATTCCCGTTTCACACGACTGCTTTTCCTCCGTGTGCTGCGTGAGTAACCATTAATGTACACATCAGCAATTCCAATCTGTGAATTAACACTCAACATTCTTCCCACTCCAATGAAACAAATTCTTTCTGTGAAACAGGAGTATATGCAGATTCTGTTGTGTGTATGCGTAGGTCTTTGTTACTTGTTGAAAGAAACAACACTCACTGCAAAACAGCAGTCTAATTATATTTACATAATACTACATTAAGGTTGTTTTCATCATTGTTTGTGTCCTTCCTGTGATCTCTCTGTTGCTTGTACATTTGTTTTTATGTCAGCTGCAATCCGTCCCCAAGCCTAACCGCCCACCACCCCTCTCCCTCCCCGCCTGCAAGATTTAAAGGGCCCTTCAGCTGATTGGTGGGGAGCAGGTGGCCCGGCCATCTTGCAGGAGGGAGGGAGAGAAGAAGAAGAAGAGATTGGATTTATACCCCGCCCTTAACTACCCAAAGGTGTCTCAGAGCGGTTTACAAACTCCTTTTCCTTCCCCTCCCCACAACAGACACCCTGTGAGGCAGGTGGGGCTGAGAGAGCTCAGACAGAAACTGCTCTTTTTTCAAGAACAGCTGTGCCAGAACTATGGCTTTGCCCAAGGTCATCCAGCAGGTGCAAGTGGAGGAGTGGGGACTCAAACCCGGCTCTCCCAGATTAGAGTCCGCGCACTTAACCACTACACCAAACTGGCATGCATCATCTCCCGCTTCTTCTCAAAAACATTCAAAGGATCCTAACTCTTTTGAGAAGAAGCAGGGGGCCATGCACCCCTGATTCTCAAAAAATCTTCTCCAAAAAATCTTGTGGGGCTGGCCCTTTAAGGAAGGGGACGGAACCCCTAATCGCCCCACTGTAGCTACAGGCCAGGGTGGACCCGATCTCTGTTGTCGGGAGATCAGTTATAATTCTGCGAGGTCTCCGGGCCCCACCCGGAGGTAGGAGGGCCAACTCAACCAGTTTCCTTCTCTGCAACAGCAGCTCACTCTGCAGATATTAGCAGGTTTATAATGTGTGTTTCTGCGCGCTGAAGAGCTTCAGGTGCTGCTCCGTGTTCCACCCATTCAGAATAGCCCTCATAGTGTTCAATGTACACGTTATCCTTAAATCAGCCCTGTAAGGCAGGCCACTGCTATTATCACATAGTGAGACTGAGAGCGTGGCTTGCCTCCAGCCAACTATTAACGTTTGCGAAGATTTGAACTGGCGAACTTGTGGGCTTGCAGCCCTGTGTCTTAGCCACTGTGCAGTACCACCAAGACCGAGCCTGTCTGCATAGCCTCTCCATCTTTATCTGCATAGCCCCACCTTTGGTTTTGTTTCTTGGTCACTCTAGAGCAGGGGCCTAGATGGCGTGGCCCCCATCAGCACCTTTTCTGGCATTCGCACAGAGAGCCAGTTTGGTGTAGTGGTTAGGAGCACGGACTCTAATCTGGGAGAAGTGGGTTTGTTTCCCCACTCCTCCGCATGCAGCTGCTGGTGTGACCTTGGGTCAGTCACAAGTTCTCTCGGAGCTGTTCTCTCAGGAGCAGTCCTCAAAAGAGCTCTCTCAGCCCCACCTACCTCGCAGGGTGTCTGTTGTGGGGAGGGGAAGGGAAAGGAGTTTGTAAGCTGCTCTGAGACTCCTTTGTGTAGTGAAGGGTGGGGTATTAATCCAGTCTCCTCCTCTTCTTCTTCTCATAGAAAGTGGGCAGGGCCAGGTGGGGCTTCTGCCCAGCAAGGCTTCTGTTTGGGCACGGGAGTTTTGATTGGCTGTGCAGTTTTTCAAAAATGTTGCTGCTACCAGAGCACGAGGGTCTTCACTGTGTGACTGAAAATAAGATGTGGCAGCCATTTTGTGGCTGGCTCCACCTCCCATGGCAGCCATTTTATGGCTGGCTCCACCTCCCACGACAGCCATTTTGTGGCTGGCTCCCACCTCCCATGACAGCCATTTTGTGGCTGGCTCCACCTCCCGCGGCAGCCATTTTGTGGCTGGCTCCACCTCCCGCGGCAGCCATTTTGTGGCTGGCTCCATCTCCCGTGGCAGCCATTTTGTGGCTGGCTCCACTTCCCACAGCAGCCATTTTTTGGCTAACTCCACCTCCTGCAGCAGCCATTTTGTGTCTGGCTCCACCTCCCATGGCAGCCATTTTGTGGCAGGCTCCACCTCCCCCGGCAGCCATTTTGGGACTGCGCCCACCACTCTGTGTCAGAATTCCAAAGGTGCCCACAGGCTCAAAACGTTTGGGGCCCCCCGCTCTAGAGCCTGGCAGACTAGTGGGAAATGCTTTCATTCGTAACACGTACAACATAGGTGCCTTTTAAATGCTTTCCTTCAGGTCAGGATCGTGAAGCAGCTGACCCTGGACAGGACCACCAGGCCTGAGCATGTCGCTGTCCTGACTCCTTACAACGCCCAGGTCGTCGAGGTCAAGAGACTGCTCTCCCAGGAAAGGCTGCCGGATGTGACCGTCTGCACCATCATGAAAAGTCAAGGCAAGTTGCTGACGCATGAAGCAGTGTTAAGCATTTCAGAAAACTGTCTCCACAACAAAGGATTTTATGATAAACCTACTGAAATAGATAAAATTTGGATCATGTTGGGAGAACGAATTATTAAAAAGGTGTATAGAAACTTATTGGAGGATAAAACGCAGGAAGAGGTGGTGAGATCGAGTATGGCAGCTTGGAATAAGGATTTAGGTTATAATATAGAGCTTGATAGATGGTTGAAAATATGGGACACTAATATGAGAATTATAAGGGCAACCTCTTAAAGAAAACATCTATAAAGTGGCTCTGAGATGGTACATTTATCCAGCTAGACTAGCAAAGTTTTCCAAAACAACCTCTAATGTATGTTGGAAATGTAGACAGAACGTTGGCACTTACTTCCATATGTGGTGGAATTGTAGCAAAGCAAAGGAGTATTGGAAGATGATAGGTAAAATGTTAAAGGAAATTATGGGAGTTCCAATTTCCCTTAAACCAGAGTTGTGTCTACTCAATATGATTCCAGAGACGTATGGGAGAGTGGAGAAAGCTTTGTTGTTGCATTGTATTATGGCTGCTAGAATTTGGTTTGCCAAGTACTGGGAAAAGGAAAAAATCCCTGAGAGGATAGAGGTCATACAAAAGTTATTTGATGTTGCTGAAATGGATAAAATATCATGCACATTAAAGGGGAAAGATGAATTGTTCTTTGAAGAAAACTGGAAAAAACTGTATAACTGGAAGTTGAATATTGAAGGGTTAGGAATGTTGGTTTGTATATAGAGTTTGGAAGAAAAGGAGGCTGTATGCTCATCTGTTGTGAAGTGAAGGAATAACTGTATGTCGGATTTACTTTTGAAAACGTTAATAAAAATATCTTTAAAAAAAAAAAATACAACAAAGATCCCCCAGCCGGCCAGGGCTAACTCTCAAGTGCCGATTTTCCCGCCTGCAGGAAGCGAATGGAGGTACGTGATCATGTCCACTGTACGGTCCTGCTCCCGGTCGGGCATTGACAAGAAGCCCACCATCGCCTGGCAGAAGAAGCATTTAGGGTTTGTGACGGACCCGAACCAGATCAACGTCTGCATCACCCGGGCGCAGGAAGGACTCTGCATCATTGGTGAGTCGTCGGGGAGGGCGCATTGATTCATTAAATTTCTACCCCACCCTCCCTGCTAGGGACGGCTCAGGGTGGCTTACAACCAGCATAAAATTACAGTACAATTACAATAAAATACAGTAACATCGTATTAATAATAAACAATTCTGACTGTTCATATTAAAACATATTAAAATGCTCATATCAGTATCAAATAGAGAGCCACTTTGGTGTAGTGGTTAAGTGCGTGGACTCTAATCTGGGAGAACCGCCATAGTTCTCTCAGAGCTGTTCTTGAAAAAGAGCAGTTTCTGCCAGAGCTCTCTCAGCCCCGCCTACCTCACAGGTTGTCTGTTGTGGGGAGGAGAAGGGAAAGGAGTTTGTAAGCCGCTCTGAGACTCCTTTGGGTAGTGAAGGGCGGGGTATAAATCCAACCTCCTCTTCTTCTTCTTCTTTTACCTCACAGGGTGTCTGTTGTGGGGAGGGGAAGGGAAAGGAGTTTGTAAGCCGCTCTGAGACTCCTTTGGGTAGTGAAGGGTGGGGTATAAATCCAATCTCCTCCTCCTCCTCCTCTTCTTCTTCTTCTTCTTCTTCTACCTCACAGGGTGTCTGTTGTGGGAAGGGGAAGGGAAAGGAGTTTGTAAGCCGCTCTGAGACTCCTTTGAGTAGTGAAGGGCGGGGTATAAATCCAATCTCCTCCTCTTCTTCTTCTTCTACCTCACAGGGTGTCTGTTGTGGGGAGGGGAAGGGAAAGGAGTTTGTAAGCCGCTCTGAGACTCCTTTGGGTAGTGAAGGGCGGGGTATAAATCCAACCTCCTCTTCTTCTTCTTCTTTTACCTCACAGGGTGTCTGTTGTGGGGAGGGGAAGGGAAAGGAGTTTGTAAGCCGCTCTGAGACTCCTTTGGGTAGTGAAGGGCCATGGGGTATAAATCCAACCTCCTCCTCTTCTTCTAATTCACAGCGGTTGTTATTACGCGGGCTCTTTAATTGCAGCCGGCTCTTGCTCTTTTAGGTCAACTTAGGTGGCCAATTCAGGCTATGGGTTGAATCCCAGGAGAACTGGGCTCTCTCCCACTTTGAACCATCAGTAGTTAAATAGTTCGTGGTTAGTGGTGGTGGCGGCTCCAAAGGCCTGGTGGAAGAGCTCCGTCTTACGGGCCCTGCGGAACTGCAGCACCCCGATGCTAATTTTCGTTTTCCTTTCTCTGTCCCCCCCCCCCTTTTTTTGCTCCTAGGCAACCGCTACCTCCTCGAAAGCAACCCCTTGTGGCGGAGACTTGTGCAACATTACCGGTCTCAGAGATGCCTCACCAGCGCCGCCGCGATCCAGATCAGGAGACAGCCGGCCGGCCACTGAAAGAGAACGCAGCACCGCCTGGAGAAACCCTGGCACAGTTCTGACGCTCCCTCGCCCCCCTCTCTGCCTCTTTAAAGGATACGCAAAATCTGCTGAGGGGCACCGGATCAGTGGCCTGTTATGCCAGCCAGGCTCTTCCAGGAAATTCTCGATGTGCCACGAGCCGCATTCTTCAAATAACCTTGAACCTTCATCTGAGGACCATATTGCGTGGACGGCCTGCCTCCGGTGGCCCAGGTAGCATTATGTAAGGCCATGTCTGGAGGGCCAGGGTGCATCCGTTCAGGCTTTCTCTCCTTCCGGACTAGCAGTACAGTGCTTCCTGGTTGTACTGCGACACTTCCTGTTAGCGTTGACCAATAGCAAAACCACCCCAAGCCGCTGGAGGGGCTGCATCCGAACTGCAGAGGGCTTGCTAGTGGCAACCACTATCTCCTGCAGACTGTGAGACTTGATGAATTCCTTCTCTTACATTCCTCTTGTTTTTATTTGATGCATTCTCTCTAGAGGAGAGAGATTTCGATGCGGAGGCAAAAGGTTCGGGGTGTTTTGTGGAATTCCCCGCCTGCCGTTCTTGGAAACTGCGTCTTACTTTGGGTCGGGTTTGAGGACCAAATTGTACATCCTGGGAAACCAGGCAATGACTTGCAAAAGACATTCGGGTGAATACCAGCGACAGCAGCACCGTGGTGAAGCTGCCTGCACCACAACTCTTTTTAACCCCTGGATCCTGTCTCGGACCAAAGCAGAAGCTTAACTCTTTGCATTTGACATGTGAACATTCCCTAGTTAGGCACTGGTCCGACCTAGCCACGGCTGGGTATTTATTTTTTTAAATAAAAATGCTGTTTTTATCTTTTAAGCAAAGGCGATCCCGGCCGCGGAATGTAAATTGTCCGGGAGGGCCTCGGGTCGTTTTTTCTGCTTCGTACACACTTTTTAAAAAAAGCATTCCTTATTTTACTTGAAATAGTTTCCTTTCGTCAGTGGTGTATTTTCGTCGTTTTAAAAATCCAGGTGGAGAATCTCAGACCTTGAGACGTTTGCTTCTCCAAAAGGAGACTCGTGTGCCGCTGGGCACTCTTGCCTTCTTTGTCATGGTGAGAGAGGTTGGATGACGGCTGCCCGCTCTGCAGAGGATCATGGGAGGAGGAGAAGGTCACGTGCGGGCCTGCTTACCGACTGCTCCTGGTGTACAAGCTGGGAACAGTGTGTTTCAACCCCACGGGTCAGTCATCTCTAGAGAGTCACGAGCCTCTTAGGCCAGCCGTCGTCGTCGTTTTTTTTGTCCTGCTTTTCTGAAGGGACCTGCAGCTAGCGGGCGTGGAGAGGATCACCTGTACGGTGCGGTGAAGTCACGCGGCCATGGAGAGGACCCCTCTTTAACGCCACCTTACAGCACACCGTCTGATGCTCGACCTGTCTTTCCTCGCCGCTGGATTTCTCGGCGTGCCGTCCGTCGGCCTGGCCTCCTCCCTGATAGAGTTGTGTCTCTGGCTCTGCCTCTTCTTGTGCTCTGATGTCACGTGACTTCCTGTCACATGTTTGCAGCTCCCTGAGCCCTGTCTTGCTGCCTGGAGGGTGGGGTGGGGTTAAAGATAGGTCCTGGGTCTGGGGAAACTGATGGGCCACTGACTGCAATGGGCCACGGTACCGTCACAACTTTGTTTGGTGGTGGGTTCTGGGGTCCCACGCTGCAGGCTGTTATGTACCCTCTGCAGCGGATCTGTGCAGATTGCGCTGTTTCCGTGTGGGCTGTGCACCTGAAATGCTGGAGACAAGGTGCGCGTGTGTGTGCGTTCTCCGATCCTGCTTTGGGTCGCCCAAGTGCCTGTCTACAAACGCTTCATGGGATTCAGCACTGGGAATCCCTAGTGACCTGGGGTAAATTCTCGTGCCGATCAAACCACACTGGATTTAGCGGCTTCTGCCCGAGCCTCGATGCCAAATGCAGCCCACGGCCCTCCTTGGTGTATCCTTTAAGAACTGTACGAGGACCACAGGGGCAAATGAATCCCGATGTTTGCACTAAAGGCAATGCGGCTGGACTCCTCCGCAAGAGCACGGGGATGAGCAATAAATAGGCCCGCGCGCATCGTCTCACCAAAGTTCCGCGTCGGCTGCTTTGCGCAGAGCTGTATTTTAGAGCCATGTTCGCCGTTGCTCGTCCCTCGCTGATGGGTGGTGGTGGTGTTAAGGTGTCATAGAATTCCAGCCTGCATTCTAGGCCCATTTAATTTTTGTGCAATAGGGGGCATATTGTGAAAACCCGATACCTTTTAAATGTATTTTTTTCACCTTTTGGCTGGGGGGGGGTTCCTCCCCAGAAATCGAAGCCTGTAATATCGGGAATCTTGACTAGGGCAAGGCCATTCTCTTTTCCATTGGTCTACCTCAAGTATATTTAGATGTGAAAGTGCTGCGTACTTGTTCTCTGTTTCAGGATTTGCCACCTTTTGGAAATTGTTGTTATAAATGCAAAAAAAACCCCAAACACCAGTTGACATAGGTCCACTTTGCTCTGGGATGTGTTTGGGGCAGCAGAGACAAAACTTGTGTTTTTAAGTCTCTGTGCTCTTTGTTTCAGCATCCACTAAGACTCTTGGGCCTACGAGTTATTAGCCTGCAGTTTTTTTAACTCACCTTCTTGCAAAAACATGCCTGCTTTGTGAATCACGTCTGTCGCTTTTTTTAAAAAAATAATAGAAGCAATTTTTGTAATGTTTCCAAGCCTGGTCGCTTGGAGTCGACCCTTACTCGTCATAGGTGAACATAACACAATTTTAAAAATTGTATTATGTATAGAAGGGCCCAGCAACAGGCATGGTGGTTTCATAACCCAGGGCTTGCAATTAACCTCTTCCTTTTTAGAGAGCCTGTTGATATTGAAATAGCCATGTATTCAGATGCTGCCTTCTCCAGTTTACTCCCTCTTCTAGACAAAAGAGTTGTTAAATGTAGAAATGTGAACCCGTTATTTTATAGAGGACATGTAAAAAGCAGGGGCTATTCTAAAGCTATTTTTAGTGCAATAACGTTGTTCAAATGCAAATCGAGGGCACCGATGGAGCGGGGAGTTCTCCTGGGTGAAGGAGACGAGGCTGTTGCGTGGGCCCGTGAAAGACCGCACTGCTGGGTCGTACCCCAAATGTTAATTATATATGAAATGGACTAAAGATTTTGTATTGTAATTGGTTGCGTGTCTTTTTTTAAAAAACAAAACAAGCTGCCATTAATAAGGGAGTTTGATTATCTATTTTGTGGCTTCGGTGTTTCGGATAGAGTTAGTGTGCGTGTGTTTCTTTTTTAAAAAATGAATTTCTATGAAAGCTGCCCTGGCTGGACTAGGGGGGCTGATTCATCTGGAGGACTACTAGTAGCTACCCCCTCTGAAGAGTGCAGAAGGCGGAAGGGGATTGGCTGGCCTTGCCGGGGGGTATTCAGAAGTGATGTCGGGGGCATAGGCGCCAAGCAGTGGGGTCAGTGCTCCCTCTAAGCTGTGGAGTCTCGTGAGCACAAATTCTACATCGTGAGCTCCTGGCATTAAAGTTGTGAGCGAGCAATTTGGCTGCTGCATACATTAGTTTGCTCTGGAGCCCTCCTCCCTGAGCTAAGACAAACATGTGAGCTGGAGGCTAAAAAACTGAGAGCTAGCTCACACTAACTGAGCTTAGAGGGAACAGTGCGCTGGTGCTGTCCTTCCTGAGCGAAGACGAAAATCTGTGAGCCGGAGGCTAAAAAAACTGTGAGCTAGCTCACACTAACTGAGCTTAGAGGGAACAGTGCGCTGGTGCTGTCCTTCCTGAGCGAAGACGAAAATCTGTGAGCCGGAGGCTAAAAAAACTGTGAGCTAGCTCACACTAACTGAGCTTAGAGGGAACAGTGCGCTGGTGCTGTCCTTCCTGAGCGAAGACGAAAATCTGTGAGCCGGAGGCTAAAAAAACTGTGAGCTAGCTCACACTAACTGAGCTTAGAGGGAACAGTGCGCTGGTGCTGTGGAGGCTCGTGAGCACAAATTCTACAATGTCAGCTCCTGGCATTAAAGTTGTGAGCGAGCAATTTGGCTGCTGCATACATTAGTTTGCTCTGGAGCCCTCCTCCCTGAGCTAAGACAAACATGTGAGCTGGAGGCTAAAAAACTGAGAGCTAGCTCACACTAACTCAGCTTAGAGGGAACAGTGCTCTGGAGCCGTCCCTTCCTGAGCGAAGACGAAAATCTGTGAGCCGGAGGCTAAAAAAACTGAGCTAGCTCACACTAACTCAGCTTAGAGGGAACACCGCTCAGGAGCTGTCCTTCCTGAGCGAAGACGAAAATCTGTGAACTGGAGGCTAAAAAAACTGTGAGCTAGCTCACACTAACTCATCTTAGAGGGAACAGTGCTCTGGAGCCGTCCCTTCCTGAGCGAAGACAAAAATCTGTGAGCCGGAGGCTAAAAAAGTGTGAGCTAGCTCACACTAACTCAGCTTAGAGGGAACAGCGGTCATCACCACCACGGCAAGTGATGTCATCACCTGAACCCGCTCTGTGATGTCATCACCCGTGGCGCTCAGGAGCCATGTACTTGCACGGTACTGTGGGAGTGGCCCCGGAGGTCTCTGTTTCTGCCTTTGGATACCCTCTGGATAAAGATACAAAACCCTCTACCGCTTCCGGGGGGGTGGGGCTGCTGCAGTAGAGCGTCCGCTTGGCATGCAGAAGTTCCCAGGTTCAATCCCCGGCATCTCCACTTAAAAGGAGCAGGTGGTGGGGTGATGTGAAAGACCTCTTGCCTGAGACCCTGGAGAGCGGCTGCCAGTCTCAGTAGACGATACTGACTTTGGTGGACCGATGGGTCTGATTCAGTAGAAGGCAGCTCGATGTATTCAGTGGGGCAGTAGCTATAGTTCTCCCGGTGAAACACCACATGAGCTGCCTCCGGCAGAAGCCCTTTTTAATGAGCCAACATATCGGAGATGGGTTTTGTTTTAAATTAAAAATCTTGTATAGCTCTATGGATCATGGCTTCTGGTATTCTATTTTTCCTCCCAGTGTTTATATGGATTGTGACATTTTCTCTGCAGTCCAGAATTGTTTGTAAAGATGACTGCATTGCACAGAATAAAACCTCTTTATAGTTAACAGTAATCGTGTGTATGTATGTGTCTGAAGCCTGGTCGATACTTGCAGGAGAATACGTGGATTATACCCTTCCAACCGGCCGTTGAGAGATACTAGTTTTTGTCTGTGAGCCCTAGAATTTCATCTCTTGTCCCTTCACCGGGACCCAGTTCTTGAAACACATGGCCCCTTGTAGGGATATGCCTTTCCCCTTATATCCCCACAAAGAAAGGAACTAGAGACTTGGGTTTTAGAGAACCTAATACACATACTGTTTT